TATGTTTTGTCCATAAAAAAAAAATAGTATAATTCTAACAATGAAAATGATCCTAAGAATGCTATGATAGTGATAATGATCCTGAGTATAATCCTTTAGAAAATGTAATTAATGACTCTATTATGTTACCATCTGATGATAATCTTGCAAATATTTTACCACTCACAGTAAGTTATACAATAGGTATATAAATATTATAATTTTAATCATAGTAATTGCATAATTGTTTGGCTCTTAGATTTAACATCAACCCAATCTGTAGTATGTTTTACACGTTTTCTCACATTTTTCTCTCATTTTATAGCAGTTTGCTTGCGTTTTTTTTTAAGTAATGCYATTTTCCTATTTAAACCATAAAACAATTATGTAATTGCTCTTAGTAAGAGCCAATTAAATAGAAGAGAGGAACATCTTAACAGAAAGGGACRAGATATAGATGCTRAGAAAATAGGACCACCATGTTCTCAAAAATGTAGAATGAAATGTTTTGAGAAAATTAAYAATACTGATCGCAAAAATATTTTCAAATTGTACTGGGAAATGGGTGATCATGACAAAMAACGTGAGTTCTTAGCTAGGTATGTGAGGATAGTACAAAAAAAACAAATAACAGTTAGCCCATCTCAGTCACGTAGAAATGTATCAAGAAAATATTTTATACCTATAAAWACTGAAGAAATTCAAGTGTGTCAAAAAATGTTTTTGMAAACATTTGCTATTTCAGAAAAGGGATATGCAATATTTTCAAAAAAAATAATAATTCACCAATTTTACTTACAGACCAAAGAGGCAAACATACTAACCGCCCACTAGCTATTAAAGACAATGTTAAAGGTTACATAAAACAACATATTGAAAGTTTTCCTGTTGTTGATTCCCACTATATTAGATCTGAATCTTCAATCTACCAGGAAGTATCTTGAAAATGGCCTTTCAATTTCTAAAATGCATAGACTATATTTAGAGTGGATTAAAGAGAAACCTTTTACATCAACACCAGACAATTATGATAACATCATAAATGTAACACTAAGGCAGTACACTGACATATTCAACAATGAATTCAATTTATCTTTTTTTAAGCYAAAAAAATACCTGCGATGAATGTGACGCATATAAATTGGCCAGCTTAGAAGAAAAAAGTAARCTACAAGTTTCATATGATAAATATTTGTCTAACAAAACAATTTCAAGGCTACAAAAAAACTGATTAAGAAAGGGCACGAAATGATCCAAAATATTGTGTTACTGTCTTTG